GACACACAAGAGAACGAGGTAATGTATAAAACACTCAAAACCAATATGCGATTTTTGTAAAATCAGTGGTACGTGTGTGCTAGCATTCAATTTGTCAGACTTCTTGAAATAACGTGGGTGAGGCAGATGCCTTTATACTATTCAAATGCACCATGGTGGCAAGTTTGTAGATCTTGACAGTTGTGTTTATGTTGGTGGGCAAATTGATTTTCTCGACTAACTAAATGAAAAGAAGGTCGAAATTCAAACTCCCATAAATCGTAGCTCCAACAGCTGAATTATCACAAAGAATAAAACCCACAAAAAATCTTACCTTTGTTAAAAAGCTTTTTTTGCCTTTGAAGAGAAAAATGAAGCCCAAAATTTGGAGCTCAATTGTGTAATCGTGAGTATAAAGAATCAACATTTGGGGATTTGGGTGCAAAATTACGTATATACCCTGAAATACGAAAATGCCCTTTAAATTGACGGACACGTGAGAAAATCGGTGAAAAATCCGCCGGAAAATCACAATTGGGGCAAAATGCAACTATAACGAAATTTTTAAGGGGGGAGTCTCATTTATGAATTTGTAGGGGGCAAAGTGCAAAAGCTAGAAATTTCTAGGGAGGCGAAGTGCATTTTGTCCTAATTATATAAATTATAAGCAATGTTGTTGGAATGAGTTTCTAAAAGTAGTGTACAGTAGAACCTCGACAAATTAAAATCTGGTAAATTAATAATCTCGCTTAAATATTTTTTTTCTTCTGGTCGACTCAAGGTCAACGTGCTAAATTAATAATTCGCTAATGCACAGTCGAAAATTTTAAGAAGCCCCATATAATATATAAATTAATAATTGCATAAAAATAATTCTTATATTACATAGTAATACATATTTTATAAATTTATGACAGATTAATAAAATATTATTTAATTGTCCCTTGTTTCTTGTTGAAGTTTACATCACCATTCTACACTTTCCTTAACATGGTTAAACCTTTTGATATAGTTTGACTCTATTGTACGTTAAACTAATGGTACAATGAGCAAGATGTACGTAAAAAAATTTAAAAAAAAATGTATTTATTGAAAATAATTTCACAAATTAATAAATTATTGATTAATAGATAAATTAATAATTATTAATTTATCAATAAGTTGATATTTCGCTAAATAATAGAATTTTGATGGTTCCAATCGTATTAATTTATAGAGGTTTATATGTATTAAGATACTCTTCACGTGTTATACATTAGATATAAACAACTAATTGTATACTAGTTGAAGTTTTATCTCTATTTGATGTAATTAACATTTATGACACAATAATCGCGATTTTGCAACCAAGGTTTTTTCGGTTGAATAGTACGATCAACCAATATGGATGCGTGTATTTTGTGTGTAAAATGAATATCAGATGTAGCATAGAATAAACCGAAACAATCCGTCACAAACAATCAAATAAAGCTTTAAACCTTCTTAGAATACGTAGCAACTAAGGCAGATCTTAACAAAAAACTGAAAAGTGGTCTTAACAACGGAATAGTACTTACAAAGCTGCCATGAGATGCAAATTCATGATTACCGGCTATATATACAGCTCCGAAAAATAAAACGATATCATCATACGAGGATTCTGCCATTCACAGTTCTTAGCAACATCTACGAATACAAGGAAAAGTACCTGTTCGAGAAAATTTTGAAATAAGCATCAATGAGGCTCTAAAGAAGAGATTTATACGAGAGCTACTAATTTATTTATGCATGAAATAGACAACATAATTGACAGCAAACAAAGAAAGAACGTAAGAACCGTAAATAAAATAAACAAATGTAAAGGGGATCGAACATACGCTTAATGTTTAAGAACAACACGATGCAGATTGTGAGCCTTGAGCAGGTTTATCAACCAGAACCATTCCTGTTGTGTTTTGTGTGGTCTGAGCTCTAGGCAACTTCTTCGCTGTAGATATTAAAATATTGATACGATCAAAATATTAAAATTTAAAACTACTAGTAACAAATGCAAATACCAAATTCAGATACAATCAATATTGATTGTAAGGCCTTGTCTTGATTAGCCTTGATATATTAGTAGTTAAGGCTAATTTTTCATTTCATAGTTGAGGCCCGGCCCGGCCCATGGTTTATTGTTGGATCAAGCCAAAAGGGCATCCAATATAGTAATGCTTCTAACATTAGAAATGAAATGACAAATTTAATATTTGGTTTTGGTAACATTATTTATTGTGCATGGACAAATTTGAAAAATAGAAGATGATCAGAAGTTCCAACACAAGCATTGAAACATATTTTATGCTTCATACAGATAAGGAATCATTTGTAATAAATGAACGCATATCCTACGTAATCAGATCCTTTCTACCGAACGAACCCTAAAAAGATTTATCTGAAAGAAAAAAAGAATGTAAAAAGATGCCACAAAATAGAGGTTATTGAGGATTTCAAAAAATAACTCCAATAAAAGCCGAACAACAAATCACCAGAAAAAAAGAAGTGATGATTTGGCCAATAATTTATGAATGTTCGCAAATCAAACCATCGTCTTCCATCAAACCAAATCAGCAGCTAGAATGGATAATTATATTATTATAAACAAATAGAAACATACCTATTTCATAGAATATTTCATTGACATTAACTGCAGTTTTGGCAGACGTTTCGAAGAAGAAAAGCCCATTTTCATCAGCATAAGCACGAGCCTCCTGTCGCACATTTGAGGGGAACATAATAAAAATTGGAAGTATTGTATTGTGTATTCAAATATAAATATCGATCACATTAATGAATAACGATGTCAGTTCCCTTATCAAGTCAAATACATTGGAATAAATAAATCGAAACGAAAAAAGGGGGAAATAAACAGGCTGAAAATCATTAAAGAGAAAAGACTTCTCAAATTCAAACAGAAGTCCTCGACAATCAGAGTTGTGCAGCAAGATTAGCTAGTTCCCAAATAAGCAGATTAGTTGTTATGAATATAAATTTCATTGTTTTAAGATATAGGAAACAAACAGTTTTGTAAATTTCCCTCCTAATTCAAATGTTCTACATCTCATCCAACAATTTTCTGGTTCAAGAATCATACGAACACTCCAAGTGGTCGGGAGATTATATATCAGCTATAACAACTAAAAAGTTCGACAAATCTCTTCAAAGCTGTCTCACTTTTTTACCCTTTTCTGAAAAAAAATCTTGTTCTTTATCGACCAGAAATATAGCCCACATTTAGGCCTTCCGCACACAATCTCAAACTAGATATCATTCTAGCCATTGGCAAGTCTAATTGTACTTACCTTTTAGAAGGTGTCTAGAACATTCGCATTGTTTAAAGCATTCATGGAGTGCTCTATTTTAACGGACAAAATTTTAATCAAGTTTGAAAGCATGCAAAATTGAGGAAGCAAATAGTAAGAAGTTAATGCTTTTAAGGGTAATCAAAATCTGAAAAATAAATGCTTTGATATACAATAAATATTACTTACTTCCGTAGTGACATTTCTCTTATCTTCAAGATCACATTTATTTTTCTTCGAAGACAACTCGGTATGGAACGCTTTATGCTGCCTGCCTCTCGAAAGCTTTTTGGCTT